TGATCCGCTATCGAGGTTGTCTTTGGTTAGATCGCGTACACATGAATGTGTCGTCACACCCGCCACCACCCGACACGCATGTATCCCTCTATCTAAGACCGGAGCAGGAGGATTTCTCAACAATGCTGGTCGTTGTTGTTGTTGTTGTCGTTGTTGTTGTCGTTGTTGTTGTTGTCGTTGTCGTTGTTGTTGTTGTTGTGTTGTTGTTGTCGTTGTTGTCGTTGTTGTTGTTGTTGTCGTTGTTGTTGTTGTTGTCGTTGTTGTTGTTGTTGTCGTCGTTGTTGTCGTTGTTGTCGTTGTTGTTGTTGTTTTGTTGTTGTCGTTGTTGTCGTTGTTGTTGTCGTTGTTGTCGTTGTCGTTGTCGTTGTTGTTGTCGTTGTTGTTGTCGTTGTTGTCGTTGTTGTTGTTGTCGTTGTTGTTGTCGTTGTTGTTGTTGTTGTCGTTGTTGTCGTTGTTGTCGTTGTTGTTGTTGTGTTGTTGTTGTTGTTGTTGTCGTTGTTGTTGTCGTTGTCGTTGTTGTTGTCGTTGTTGTTGTCGTTGTTGTTGTTGTTTTGTTGTTGTCGTTGTTGTTGTCGTTGTAATTACCGGCGAAACGTCACGATACTCGAATTGTAAAGGTTGTCGTGGGTTTACTCTCCAACACAACAACCGGTTAGTGCTCTACTAGTATGCTACACTATACACTACACTGTACACTACACTATACACTGCACTATACACTGCACTATACACTGCACTATAGACTACACTATAGACTACACTATAGACTACACTATACACTACACTATACACAACACTATATACTACACTATACACTACATTATACACTACACTCTACACTACACTATACACTACACTATACACTATACACTGCACTATAGACTACACTATAGACTACACTATACACTACACTATACACTACACTATACACTATACACTACACTATACACTATACACTACACTATACACTACATTATACACTACACTATACACTACACTATACACTGCACTATAGACTACACTATACACTACACTATAGACTACACTATACACTACACTCTACACTATACACTACACTACATTATACACTACACTACATTATACACTACACTATATACTACACAATACACTACACTATACACTACACTATATACTACACAATACACTACACCATACACTACACTATACACTACACGACATTATACACTACACTATACACTGAACTATATACTACACTATACACTACACTATACACTACACTATATACTACACTATACACTACACTATACACTACACTATATACTACACTATACAGTACACTCCACTATACACTCCATTATAATTGTAAATGCTATAGTGGGTTTTACTCTCCAACACAACAACTGTGCTGAACTAAGTAACAAATTGACACGTTCTATTCACGTGACGATCCCTTGCTAAGTGGCGGTGTCCGTTGTTATATTTACGCGATCTCACTCCACATACCTGTCAACCCCTTATCAGTGCCTTCCTTATAACAGACCAATTCAGACCTTTTTAGGTCACCCCGTGCCCTTATAAATCCCAACGTTCATCCTACAAAGTTCCATCACAAGGGAGAAACACAAATACGTATTTTTAAAAAATGTGCCCATATTGAAAGGGATGTACGCCGTATGGACCTGAAAACTCACTATCCCTGTACAAGAATACGGGGTAAACCGCATGGGCTGATAGGTTTGGACTAACAGGATAACATCTGTAACATGAAATAAAATACATCCCCGATTGAATGAATGACACATGAAGTTAATTCAGAGGGAATCCACTCAGCGTCCAGGGGTGGCCCAATATTGGCCTGTTTCGATCCACAAATCGTCTCTTCAAGATCCACGAATTAATTGTCACAATCTCGGCCAATCCCCGAACACAAACCCCGTTTAATCGAACATCGGTTCGTGAAAAATCCGTCCACTCCCCATTCCAGTATCCCTTCTACGGGCAAAGGATACACCCGATGACTCCACATCGGGCCCTAAAACATTAACACGATGTAGTAACATGAACACGACGTATTCACATGAACACGATGTAGTAACATGAACACGATGTAGTAACATGAACACGATGTATTCACATGAACACGATGTATTCACATTAACACGATGCATTAACATTAACACGATGTATCAACATTAACACGATGCATTAACATTAACACGATGCATTCACATTAACACGATGTATCAACATTAACACGATGTATTCACATTAACACGATGTATTCACATTAACACGATGCATTCACATGAACACGATGTAGTAACAGTAACACGATGTATTCACATGAACACGATGTATTCACATTAACACGATGTATTCACATTAACACGATGTAGTAACATGAACACGATGTATTCACATTAACACGATGTATCAACATTAACACGATGTATTCACATTAACACGATGTATTCACATTAACACGATGCATTCACATGAACACGATGTAGTAACAGTAACACGATGTATTCACATTAACACGATGTATTCACATGAACACGATGTATTCACATTAACACGATGTAGTAACATGAACACGATGTATTCACATTAACACGATGCATTCACATGAACACGATGTAGTAACAGTAACACGATGTATTCACATGAACACGATGTATTCACATTAACACGATGCATTAACATTGACACGATGTATTCACATTGACACGATGTATTCACATTGACACGATGTATTCACATTAACACGATGTATTCACATTAACACGATGTATTCACATTAACACGATGTAGTAACATGAACACGATGTATTCACATGAACACGATGTATTCACATGAACACGATGTATTCACATGAACACGATGTATTAACAGTAACACGATGTATTCACGTTAACACGATGTATTCACATTAACACGATGTATTCACATTAACACGATGTATCAACATTAACACGATGTATTCACATGAACACGATGTATTCACATTAACACGATGTAGTAACAGTAACACGATGTATTCACATGAACACGATGTATTCACATTAACACGATGTATTCACATTAACACGATGTATCATTCAGTCGCGGATTCACTGTACAGCATCCTGTTCTAGCACAACTGCGAATGGAACCCATCAACAACAACAACAATAACCGCAGTGACGTCACAACAGCGCTCGTGCCAGGCCATGTGCACGTGAAGGCCACGTGAAGTGTCGACCGCCCTCTGCTGGCAAGAGGTCACGTGACCGACCCAGCAGGTGCCATGGGTCGACTGACTGAGATGACTGGCCGATGCACCACCAGCTGTGCCCCCTACTGTGCCAGGCTAGGTGCAGGAGGTCACGGGACAGACCCAGCAGGTGCCATGGGTCGACAGACTGAGATGACTGGCCGATGCACCACCTGTGCCCCCTACTGTGCCAGGCTAGGTGCAGGAGATCACGGGACAGACCCAGCAGGTGCCATGGGTCGACTGACTGAGATGACTGGCCGATGCACCACCTGTGCCCCCTACTGTGCCAGGCTAGGTGCAGGAGGTCACGGGACAGACCCAGCAGGTGCCATGGGTCGACTGACTGAGATGACTGGCAGATGCACCACCTGTGCCCCCTACTGTGCCAGGCTAGGTGCAGGAGGTCACGGGACAGACCCAGCAGGTGCCATGGGTCGACAGACTGAGATGACTGGCCGATGCACCACCTGTGCCCCCTACTGTGCCAGGCTAGGTGCAGGAGATCACGGGACAGACCCAGCAGGTGCCATGGGTCGACTGACTGAGATGACTGGCCGATGCACCACCTGTGCCCCCTACTGTGCCAGGCTAGGTGCAGGAGGTCACGGGACAGACCCAGCAGGTGCCATGGGTCGACTGACCGAGATGACTGTCCGATGCACCACCTTTGCCCCCTACCGTGCCAGGCTAGGTGCAGGAGGTCACGGGACAGACCCAGCAGGTGCCATGGGTCGACTGACTGAGATGACTGTCCGATGCACCACCTGTGCCCCCTACCGTGCCGCTCTCCGTCAACGTCATTTCACCCCGTCACGGATCCATCCCTGTGGCCACGACCCCCCTTGTTACTATGACGTCACTGAACCCCCCCCCCCAAACCCCTCCCCCACTTCTTGTCACTTTCCCTAGGTAACATGACACCTCACTCCCCCCTCTGTACTATGACGTCACTGAACCCCCCCCCCAACCCCTCCCCCACTTCTTGTCACTCTCCCGAGGTAACATGACACATCACTTCCCCCTCTGTACTATGACGTCACTGAACCCCCCCCCCCAAACCCCTCCCCCACTTCTTGTCACTCTCCCGAGGTAACATGACACCTGACTATCCCCTCTCTACTATGACGTCACTGACCCCCCCAACCCCTCCCCCACTTGTCACTCTCCCTAGGTAACATGGCGCCTGTCTGCCCCACTTAACTATGACGACCACCTTGTCACTCTCCCTAGGTAACATGGCGCCTGTCTGCTCCCTCTTAACTATGACGACCGTGTCACTCTCCCTATGTAACATGGCGCCTGTCTGCCCCACTAAACTATGACGACCACCGTGTCACTCTCCCTAGGTAACATGGCGCCTATCTCCCCCTTAACTATCACGACCGTGTCACTCTCCCTATGTAACATGGCGCCTGTCTGCCCCTTCTTAACTATGACGACCTTGTCACTCTCCCTAGGTAACATGGCGCCTGTCTGCCCCAACTATGACGACCTTGTCACTCTCCCTAGGTAACATGGCGCCCGTTTCCCCCTTCTTAACTATGACGACCTTGTCACTCTCCCTAGGTAACATGGCGCCTGTCTGCCCCAACTATGACGAACTTGTCACTCTCCCTATGTAACATGGCGCCTGTCTGCCCCCTCTTAACTATGACGACCTTGTCACTCTCCCTATGTAACATGGCGCCTGTCTGCCCCACTAAACTATGACGTCTTGACCCCACCCCCACTCCCCCCCACCCCTCCCCCTCCGCCACCGCCACCAAGGGAGGCCCGGGGCATGCCAAGATGGAGGCTTGATAAGTTCAGTGGCGGCGCGAGGGAGTTGTGTGTGTGGAGGTGGCCGGGTGGCGGGTGCTGGAAGCCTGCGGAGAGACGGAGAGAGACAGACAGGGAGACGTGCCAGCTGTGTTAGTTAGTTCGCTCCCCTCCCCCGGCTCGTCTCCCGGCTCGTTCCGTGGGCGATGACCCTTCGACATGACGACGGACGGAGCGAGCAAGCGGCAGTTCTGGAGGCGCGGCGGCAGTAGGCTGCCTGGCAGGCGAGTGTCTCTCCCCCCCGACCCACCCCCTCGCCACTCGTAGCCGACAGGGTCTATCCGCTGCTGTTGCGCTGCGCGACATCGCGATGTCGCGCGCCGCTCTTCTTCCGCTCCGGGCGGCTTCCTCTTGGGCCGCGTCGTCTCTCCCCTCCTGTCTCTCACTCACTCCCCTCTCCCCTCGTCTCTCTCTCTCTCCCCTCGTCTCTCTCTCTCTCCCCTCGTCTATCTCACTCGTTCACTCGCCTGCACAGGCGCCTCCTTCTCGCCGTGACACCTCGCGCCATTGTAGACGTCGTGACGTCGGCAGACGCCGTCGATTCCACCGCTGGACGAAAGCTTCAGCCCCAAACCCTCAAACCCCCCTCACCCCGGAACCCACAAACCCCGGAACCCCCTCACCCCCAAACCCCCTCGCCCCAGAACCCCCTCACCCCAAACCCCCCTCACCCCCAAACCCCCCTCACCCCGGAACCCCCCTCACCCCCAAACCCCCCTCACCCCCAAACCCCCCTCACCCCGGAACCCCCAAACCCCCCTCACCCCCTCGCCCCGGAACCCCCTCACCCCCAAACCCCCCTCACCCCGGAACCCCCCTCACCCCCAAACCCCCCTCACCCCTCACCCCCAAACCCCCCTCACCCCGGAACCCCCCTCACCTCCAAACCCCCCTCACCCCGGAACCCCCAAACCCCCCTCACCCCCTCGCCCCGGAACCCCCTCACCCCCAAACCCCCCTCACCCCGGAACCCCCCTCACCCCCAAACCCCCCTCACCCCCAAACCCCCCTCACCCCCAAACCCCCCTCACCCCTCACCCCGGAACCCCCAAACCCCCCTCACCCCCTCGCCCCGGAACCCCCTCACCCCCAAACCCCCCTCACCCCGGAACCCCCCTCACCCCCAAACCCCCCTCACCCCCAAACCCCCCTCACCCCGGAACCCCCCTCACCCCGGAACCCCCCTCGCCCCCAAACCCCGCTCACCCCCAAACCCCCCTCACCCCCAAACCCCCCTCACCCCGGAACCCCCTCACCCCCAAACCCCCCTCACCCCCAAACCCCCCTCACCCCGGAACCCCCTCACCCCCAAACCCCCCTCACCCCCAAACCCCCCTCACCCCCAAACCCCCCTCACCCCGGAACCCCCTCACCCCCAAACCCCCCTCACCCCCAAACCCCACTCACCCCTCACCCCGGAACCCCCTCACCCCCAAACCCCCCCTCACCCCCAAACCCCCCTCACCCCTCACCCCGGAACCCCCTCACCCCCTCACCCCCCTCACCCGCTTCGTTTCCTCGGGATGGCTGTCACGTCCTGGTAACGTCCTGGTAACATCCTGTAAATGTCATGGTAACGTCTTGGTAACGTCCCGGTAACGTGCTGGTAACGTCATGTAACGTCCTGTAAATGTCATGGTAACGTCCTGTTAATGTCATGGTAACGTCCTGGTAACGTGCTGGTAACGTGCGGGTAACGTCCTGTAAATGTCATGGTAACGTCCTGTTAATGTCATGGTAACGTCCCGGTAACGTCCTGTAAGTGTCATGTAAGTGTGATGTAACGTGTGTGCGTGCGCGCACCCCACAACCTGTGTGTGTGTGTGCACCCTCCTTCCCACACACACCCTGTGTGTGTCACGTGTGTGTCACGTGTGTGTGTGTGCACCCTCCTTCCCACACACACCCTGTGTGTGTCACGTGTGTGTGTGTGCACCCTCCTTCCCACACACACCCTGTGTGTGTCACGTGTGTGTCACGTGTGTGTGTGTGCACCCTCCTTCCCACACACACCCTGTGTGTGTCACGTGTGTGTCACGTGTGTGTGTGTGCACCCTCCTTCCCACACACACCCTGTGTGTGTCACGTGTGTGTCACGTGTGTGTGTGTGCACCCTCCTTCCCACACACACCGTGTGTGTGGCACGTGTGTGTCACGTGTGTGTGTGCACCCTCCTTCCCACACACACCGTGTGTGTGTCACGTGTGTGCACTCTCGCTCACGGGTCAACACCACAGTGACGATTATCTGAACCGGTCCTCGGCCTCCCCCTCGGTCGACTCGGCCTTAAATGACGACCTGGTGGGTGTCTGGTAATCATCGCCACGAGGGATACAAAGGCGGGCGTGCTTGGTGCTGGCCACCCACCTCCTCGTGTGCTGTGTCCGCCTTGATAGGTGCTACTCGCTAATAGCACTTGCCCCAACAGTCTGTTAAGGCTCTCTGGGGGATCTTTGTCTTTGTTTGCTCTCATGCGTGGGGTGTTACTCTTCCTGCCTCTCCGCATCATCAGTAGTTCGCGTCTGCCCATTCTGTCCAAAACCATCGTAAGTGTCGTGGTCTATCACGGTCTGTCCACTGCTCGATGAAGATCCGTGTGGTGGTGTCTCTGAAGCCACATGGAGTCGATGCGCTTGTTGTTGTGGTTAGTTTGTTTTCCCCCCCCCCCCCTCGCGCCTCCAATGAGCACACTTGGCTAGCTACGGTCCAAAAGAAGTTCAACTTCGTACTTACGGGGACTCCTCTACTTGCGAACATTCGACTTGTGCACTTTCTGAGATACCAACAAACCTGGTCCATATGTCCAGTCGCCCGTTGAGTCGTAAGTTCAACACCCGTGCAATAGATGGCGGTGGTGGCGTCTACATCTGCAGAACGTGAAGAACCAGTGGCATCTAAATCTACAGAACGTGAAGAACCAGTGGCATCTACATCTGCAGAACATGAAGAACCAGTGGCATCTACATCTGTAGAACGTGAAGAATCAGTGGCATCTACATCTACAGAACGTGAAGAATCAGTGGCATCTACATCTGCAGAACGTGAAGAACCAGTGGCATCTACATCTGCAGAACGTGAAGAATCAGTGGCATCTACATCTGCAGAACGTGAAGAACCAGTGGCATCTAAATTTGCAGAACGTGAAGAACCAGTGGCATCTACATCTGCAGAACGTGAAGAATCAGTGGCATCTACATCTGCAGAACGTGAAGAACCAGTGGCATCTACATCTGCAGAACGTTAAAAACCAGTGGAATCTACATCTGCAGAACGTGAAGAACTAGTGGCATCTACAGAACATAAAGAACCAGTGGCATCTACAACTTACAGGAGATTATAAAGCCATTCCCTGTATTTAGTGTACACGCCGTACAACACGTTTTGAATCAACAGGAGTAAAGTTGGACTCGCGAACAAATCGACTTACGAACAGACACCTGGAACCTGACTCACTGATAAGTCGAGTCCCTGTACAAACAACTTGCGCCGCCTCGTCTCTCGGTGGAATCCCCAAAGCGGTGCCAGGATTCTCAGGTCACGCTGCTTTGCAAATGAGTCTCCATCCTCGCCTCTTTGAGTCTCTCAACTTCCCCGGTGAAGCAAAATCGCCCCTCGACGTTCAAACGACTCTGTGCTTCGCGCAAACTCTTAGAGCCCCTATTACGTTTCAGGGTTGTCGGCTGACCGTCAACCCTGCACTAAACTTTACCTCGGGTCGCATGCGACAGAAGGGTAGCTATGGGGCGGAATGTCGGAATACACGTCTACAAAATAAACGATGGGCATTTTACCAGGTAAGGTCCCACTGTCAGGATGGAACCCACGACCTCCTGTAGACCAGGCGAGGTAGTGAACATCTCTACAGGGAGAGAGACACGCATACTCCAAATATACAGCAGCAGGCGTCAGGGTCGGGATGGAACCCACGACCTCCTGTATACAAGGCGAGGTAGTGAACATCTCTACAGGGAGAGAGAGACACGCATACTCCAAATATACAGCAGCAGGCGTCAGGGTCGGGATGGAACCCACGACCTCCTGTATACCAGGCGAGGTAGTGAACATCTCTACAGGGAGAGCGAGACACGCATACTCCAAATATACAGCAGCAGGCGTCAGGGTCGGGATGGAACCCACGACCTCCTGTAGACTAGGCGAGGGAGTTAACATCTCTACAGGGAGAGAGAGAGACGCGCAAACTCCAAATCTACAGCAGGCGTCAGCCAGCGGCGCCTTTGACAATTCATGTGATTGCCTCGGAGCGCACCTAGCCTGGCACAAGCGCCATGCTTACGGCACCGTCGCTTGGTGGTGAATGGCGGTTGTTGTTTGAGTCGAAAGTAAAACACAGTGGTGGCCTCGTGTTTACGTGGCGGGAAAGGGTTGAGTGTTGCCCGTCGTTAGGAGCTGCTTTCATGAGTAGAACGCTTCACCCCAGGGCTTAATTTCTAACTAAATATTATGCGGGTCGCCTGTGTGTGTGTGTGTGCATACCCAACCACACGCACCCATCCTGTGTGTGTACACGTATCCACACACACACACACACCCCTTGTGACACCACAGCGAGCGGTATTAACCGGGCGTGGTGTGTCGGGTACTGAAGTATTATCTGGGTCATCAACCCGGGCAATCCCTTGACTAACCCGACTCTTCCGACCCTAACATCTCCACCTTGGCCCCAACTCTAACCTTGTCCTAAGCTTTAACCAAACTTTATCCAACCCCGGTGGCCATCCGGAAACCCCCCGCCTTTGGCTTTGACTATAATCCCTTAACCATGGTTTAGCCCCTAGCCCTGACTCTAACCCTGACGTCGCTCACCCACACCCTGACCCTGCCCGAAATATGAACGTGTTTAACATTGCGCCGCGGTGGCGAGATGTTAACTACCTCGCCTGGTATACAGGAGGTCGTGGGTTTGATCCCGACCATCATGTCTGCTGTATACTTGGAGTTTGCGTGTCTCTCTCTCCCTGTGGTGAGATGTTAACTACCTCGCCTGGTATACAGGAGGTCGTGGGTTTGATCCCGACCCTCACGTCTGCTGTATACTTGGAGTTTGCGTGTCTCTCTCTCCCTGTGGTGAGATGTTAACTACCTCGCCTGGTATACAGGAGGTCGTGGGTTTGATCCCGACCCTCACGTCTGCTGTATACTTGGAGTTTGCGTGTTCTCCCCGTGGTCGCCTGTATTTTTTCTCCGGGTTTTCCGTTTTTTTCCCCCTTCACCTTTAGAATCGACGTCACACGTTCAGAGTATTTTGCTGCAATAAATGTCCACGTGATGATAAGCCACTTCGTTGAGCTATCATTTAAGTCAGGGGTCTACAGCTCACTGGGTCTTACCTGGTAAAATAAAAAAATGTTTATAGTTTTATAGTTCATAGCTGTTTGATTAACACCATATCAAGTGCTATCCCACCCTGTCCATCAGCCCTGACAATGTCTACAAACCCCCATCTCTTTTAGTAACCCTGGGCTAGATTCCAACTTTTACATTAACCCATTGTCTCGGCCTGACCCAAAACCGTAAATCCTGCCGTTGTACGGTGCTACACAGATATACAATGTCACCCTTGACCCACGGGCGTGTGTGTGTAATAGTCAACCCACGATACCTGGGTCTGCCCCGTGACCTCGTGCCAGCAGCGAGCCTTCGACACTTCACGTGATAGCCTCAAAGTGCACCTAGCCCATCTCTGGTGACGTCACCGCTACGAATTGGCAGCTGTTGTTGTTGCGGTGCATGTCAGAGTCCGGTTTGTGTGTGTGTAGGTGTCTGTGTTGGTGTCTGTGTTGGTGTCCGTGTGTGTTTCTGAAGGTGGCTCTGTGTGTCTGTGTAGGTGTATGGTTGTCAGCCTCAAATGAGTACCTGGTGCGGTGTGTAAACATCGCCACTAGAGAGACAAAGGCGGCCGGGCGTGTTGCTTTCCACCCACCCCCTCGCGTGCCGTGCCGGCCTTCATAGGTGCCCGCTAACAGCGCTTGCCCCAACAGTCTGTTGAGGCTATAACGGGTGGGGGGGTCTTTGTCTGTTTGTCTTGCAGCATACAGCAAGTGTACGGGGCACAGCATCCTCCCTTCAATCCACAGCTGCTCAACAGGTGAGCGGGCGGCGACGCGCAGCGAAACACCCAAACCAGTCCCCAGCCTACGTTAGTGGACGGCCCTTGATCGATCTGCTGCTGGATGAGGGGGCCGCCCCCAACCCCCCCCCCCCAACGCCGTGGGGGTTATTGAAATCGTACTTCACGGATCGCGGGTGCAAGGGGCCTTGACGAGGTTTCCCCGCAGGGTTGCCAGGCTCACCACTCTCCGTGGTGGGCGAGGAACTCGGTAGTCCCCAGGGTTGCCAGGCTCACCACTCTCCGTGGTGGGCGAGGAACTCGGTAGTCCCCAGGGTTGCCAGGCTCGCCACTCTCCGTGATGGGCGAGGAGCTCGGTAGTCCCCAGGGTTGCCAGGCTCACCACTCTCCGTGGTGGGCGAGGAACTCGGTAGTCCGGGAGAGCCTCGGGGTCGAGCCGCTGCTCCTCCGGATGTAGTAGTATATAGTAATGTATAGTAGTGTAGTGTATATTGTATCGTAGTGTAGTGTATAGTGTAGTGTATACTAGTGTATCGTGTAGTATTATACAGTGTAGTGTATAGTGTAGTGTATAGTTGTGTAGTGTATAGTATCTTCTTGGTTCTTTCGGTAAAGTCACGTAGAATGGAAATAATAAAATAATAAAAATAAAACATACGTTTTATTTTTATTATTTTAATAAAAATAAAACATGTTTTATTTTTATTATTTTTATAAAAATGAAACGTATGTTTTATTTTTATTATTTTATTATTTCCATTCTACGTGACTTTACCGAAAGAACCAAGAAGATGAATCCCTGCAGTCACGAAAGCTTTAAATCGAAATTTAGTGTATAGTAGTGTAGTGTATCGTAGTGCTAGAGTTTGCCGCCAGGGAAAGGGAGCTCTGGACCGCCAAGACTCAACACGCTGCTGCTGCCGCGACCCTCGCCAGGACAAGCGGACTGAGGAACGATCGATCGAACTCCCCCACGCTGGCAATCAAAGAGTTGAGAGGCCAACCACCCAGATGGCAGCTACGAAAGGAACAGAAACTTGAACTGAACTCTCTTTTGTATTTTGCCAGGTCAGGCCCCACCCGTTGAGCTACGTCGCTCTTTTTCAGAAGCGACCTGGCCACAAACGATAGCCCGATGTCACGTGGGAAATGTATGGCAGCCAAAGCGCTCTCAACGCGTCTCGTTGATGCTAAACGTGGAGGGAAAAACCAGAGGACCCGGACAAAAAAAATCCACGCGACCACGGGGAGAACACGCAAACTCCACATACGCATGCGTCAGGGTCTTGCTCGAACGCACGACCTCCTGTATATCAGGCGAGGTAGTTAACACCAGAGAGGCTACTGGGAGGCTACAGCACAGGACTGGGTCATTGCCCTTCATGTAAGGGGTGGGGTGGAAGGGAGGGCGATTGTGAGGCCACTAATTTGCCTCTCGCTCCATGGGAGATTTTGTAAACACATGGCCGGCCAGACTGGGCATGACGCTATGACGTGTTTTTAATTATGGGTGGAACCGTTCAACTGTGTGTGTGCACGCACGCGTGCGTGTGTGGGGAGCGGTAGTGGAGCGGTTAGCGCGCTGTGCTACGAACCTGGCACCCCGAGTTCGATTCCCGCTCGTGGCCAACACCAGTGACGATTATCTGAACCGGTCCTGGGACTCCCCTAGGTTGACTCGCCACTGGAGAGACAAAGGCGGCCGGGCGTGGTGCTGGCTATCCACCCCCTCGTCTGCTGTTCCGGCCTTCATAGGTGCTCGCTAGCAGCACTTGCCCCAACAGTCTGGATAAGGCTACACAGCGGATCTCTGTGTTTGTGGGGAGCGGTAGTGTAGTGGTTAGCGTGTTGCTCTCCGAACACGGCCACTCGAGTTCGATTCCCGCTCACGGCCAACACCAGTAATGATTATCCAAACGGATCCTGGGCCTCCCCTAGGTCGACTCGGCCTCAATTGAGTACCTGGTGTGGTGTGTAAACACTGCCGCTGGGGAGACAAAGGCGGCCATGGCGTGGTGCTGGCCACCCACGTCCTTGGTGTGTGGTGCCGGCCTTCATAGCGGCTCGCTAACAGCTCTTGCCCCACAACTATCAAGGCTACACAGGGGAGGGCGATCTTTGTCTTTGCGATCCTTTTGCGTGTTACTCTCCGGCAGAGGTCGCAACCGGGTACCCGATACCCGTACCCTACTCGATACCCGGCTACCCATACCCGGCCGGGTACGGGTAAGGGTAGCCGTTTGCGACCCTGGTGCGGCCGGGTACAGGTACGGGTAAGGAATCAAAACCCGTTTGCGACTCTCTGCTCTCCGGCTATGCCGGGTTAGCGTTTTCCCCGGGTTCTTCCCAGGCTTCCTCCCGCACGAAGCCGAGCGCCCCTTGGGGTGGTGCGCACGTACGCGCGCACGTGCAACTTCTCTCGCTCCGTAACCTAGACAACCGTTGCCCATCGGAGGTGCCGCGGTTCGATTCCCTTCCGCCGCCGCCGCCCCGGTTAAGACGGCGGCGTGAACCCCGTTGCTGCTGCGCCGAGATGTCTGCAAGTGGCTGGGTGGGTGTCAACCCCACCCTCTCGAGGAACGCGCCAGCGACTCGCCGCTAACTTTATTGGGAGAGGTAGCGGCGCCGTGGTTCTTGAAGAAGGCATCGTTGCTCACCGCAGAGAACTGCGGCGACACGGCCGCCGCGCTCAGCGGTAGCTGGCGCCAAGCTGCGCCTCGCGCCCTCCCGCGTGGCAGCCTCGTGGGAGCCTTGGTACGTCTCTCGACCCGAAGACGTACCGATAAGGTTCTTTTATTTTAGTTTGACTACACGACTGTCATCGGAATTGTAAGCGGTTCAAGGCGACGGTCGAAGTTTGCCAAGTTTAAAAGTTACTCATTTGGGATCGCACGCTCGGCAGCAATCATCGCCCCCTACTGGCAGCAGACCGGTGCCCCCAGGTCACCCTGCGAATGAGACTCATCATCATCATCCTGCTCTCTGGAGCTCTCACCTCGTTCTATCAAATATAAATTTTAAATTGTAGCTCCTTGTTTGTTTACTTTTTTTGTGAATAGCTCCCGCACCTCCGATTAGAGCACGGTTTGTGTACGTACGGTGCAAAAGAAGTTCAACATACTTATGTACGTAGCAGGACCCTCCTGGAAAAGTCTTGAGACTCCGTGAGGCTTTGCCTGGTCAATAAAGGGCATTATTACATCTGGTGATGTAGATGACGATGATGATTTATGGATGTCAACGATGGTGGTAAGTTTCATAATGATGGTGGAGATGATCATAATGATGGTGATATTGATTTTGGAAATGATGATAATGATGTTGATGGTGTTGATTATGACCATGTCATTGATAATGTTGCTTGTGACGATGATGATAGTGATGATGGCAGCCCACGTCTGTGTGCTGGAGTTGCTCATGCTGATGATGTTGTTGATGGCGACAATGCTATTGATGATGCTGCTGATGAAGTTTCTGATGATGACAGTGATGATGGCTAACCCACTTGTGTGTGCTCTGACAATGCCGCTGATGATGATGCTGATGATCATGCTAATGATGTTGATAATGACGATGTTGACGATGCTAAATGATGATGCCGATGATGTGGATGATGGCGACTCTGCCGCTCTCTCTGTGCCGTCAGCGCTGGCAAGGGGGCCGTGGGGGTGCCGGCCGTGGGGCTAGCAGGGGGCCCCGTGCCCGGCGCGGTCGGGGGCAGTGCCCCCCTCTTCCCGGCCGTCTCCATGTCGGTGGGGGTCACGGTAGGAGGGGTCGGGGGGGGCAGCAGCTCGAGGAAAGCAGCCTCCTTCCAGGTGAGCGAGGGGGTGGGAGGGTGGGTGAGTGAATGAATGAAGGTGTGTGGGTGGGAGGGTGAGCGAGTGAATGAGTGTGCGTGTGGGTGGGTGGGTGACTGAGTGAATGAAGGTGTGTGGGTGGGTAGGTGAGTGAATGCTACATTATTGGGTGAGTGAGTAAATGTATGTGTGTGCTCGTGAGTGGGTAGGTGAGTGGGTGGGTGGGTGAGGGAGTGAATGAAGGTGTGTGGGTGGGTGGGTGACTGAGTGAATGAAGGTGTGTGGGTGGGTGGGTGAGTGAATGTATGTGTGTGCTCGTGAGTGGGTGGGTGAGTGGGTGGGTGGGTGAGGGAGGGGGATGAGTCGGTGGGTGAGCGACTGAGTGTGTTGGTGAGCGACTGAGTGAATGAATGTGTGGGTGGGTGGGTGTGTGAGTAGCTGCCTGTTGAGTAAGTACTGAAGTTCTGAAGGCGATCCAGAGTCTGAGACCAGGAAAGGCACCGGGCAGAGATGATCTCCCAAGCGAAATGCTGAGTGAGGGTGGTATTTGTGTACAGACTGCCCTACATGACATCATAACAATAGTCTGGACGGGTTCCACAAGATTGGAAGGATGCCCTGGTGGTCCCCCTCTTGAAGAAGGGGGACAGCACATACTGTAATAACTACTGGGGCATCTCACTCCTCAGTGTGCTGGGAAAGGTCCTGGCAAGGATTATTCAACATCGCCTTGCTAGGCACGCTGAGGGAGAGACTTGCGAAGCCCCAATGCGGTTTCAGGAAAGGGCGGTCCTGCACAGATGCCAGATTTTCTGTCCGTCTGCTACAGCAGAGGTGTAGGGAATTCCAACAAGACCTACATCTCTGCTTTATTGACCTGGTCAAGGCCTATGATACCATCAGTAGGCCTGGGCTCTGGGTTGTGCTTCGTGCTTTCGGAGTCCCTGACTCTCTGCTTGCGATCATTAAGCACCTTCATAATGGTGAGCGGGCCTGGATAAAACTACGTGGCTGGGAGTCGGAGCCATTCCCTGTTCACCTAGGGGTGCGACAGGTGTGTCCTCTGGCTTCCACATCCTTTACCAACTATTTCGACCACATAGTTCGTGAATTCTTCGATGGCTGTACCGGAGGAATTTTCATCCGGTACAGATACAATGGGAGGCTGATCGATGCCGGGGCGCAGTCAAGGGATGGCTCCCTATTGGTCGACCATGTTATGTATGCCGATGATCTGGTAATTGCTGCTCACTCAGAGGAGCAGTCTGAGGTGCTGCTGCTGAACCTGGAGCTTGCCATCAAGAGGATGGGGCCTTACCATCAGCCCCACCAAAACTAAGCACCTGCCTGTGTATTTTGTACCATCGGACACTCGACCCCCACAACTCCCAATCGGTGATGGGCAGTTGTGGAGAGAGTGGAGAGTTTCCCATACCTGGGCAGTGTGCTCATGACTGGCTCTGGTTTGACAGCAGAGGTCTCACTATGAATCAGTCGAGCGGCATTTTTTTATCGGTTGCGTAACGCTGTGTGCAAGATACCCGGTCTATCGCTCCACACGAAGCTTCAGGTTTTCTCGGCCACAGTCATGCCCTCCCTTCTCTACACTTGCGAAGCGTGGACCCCCCTAATGGAACATCTTCTCCGGTTAGAAACATTTAGGCTGGCCAGCCTTGGTCCCATCAGTGAGCTTTTCCGGCAGGCAAGGCTGCATTGGCTGGGTCATGTCGCCCGTATGCCCAACCACCGCATGCCTAAACAGCTTTTTGGGGGGCTAAACGGGTGCGGCACGGGCTAGAGAAGAGATGGAGTGATGTGGTACAGGAGGACGTGGAGCTGAGTGGACTTGCCGATGACTGGTACCAGCGGTGTCAAGATCGGCCTCTGTGGAGGAGGCTCGTGAACGACGCTACTGGGCAGTTGGAGGCAGTCGCCCTCCAACAAAAACGTGCACATAGCCTGGCATAAGCGCCGTGGTGATGTCACCGCCACTTAGTGGCGAATGGCGGTTGTTTTTGTCGGGTGATTGAGTGAATGAACGGTGAATGAGTGGGTGGGTGAGTGAGTGGGTGAATGTGTGCTTGGGTGAGAGAGTAAGTGGGTGAGCGGGTGGGTGTGTGAGAGTGAGTGATTGGTAAATGATTGGGTGAGCGAGTGAATGAATGTGAGCGGGTGAACGGGTGTGCGGGTGAGTGAGTGATAGTGCGTGAAAGATTGTGTAAATGATTGAGCAGCTATGTGAGCAGCTGAGCCATTGCCTGGGCAATTGAACAGCTGAGCAATAGCGCCCCCCGCCCGCCCCCACAGTGATTGAGTGAGTGGTTAAGTGGATGCTTAAGTGATTGGTGGTTGTTTTCATTCGGTGAGCAGTTGATGGATTGACCCATCTATTGATTGAGGCCGAACTGCACGAGTGGTCGAGCGAGCTGCTGAACCATCGCCTGAGCAATTGAGCGGTCTCAATCTGCCACTCCCCCGCCCGCCCTCCCGCCCGCCCTCCCGCCCACCGACTCTTCCCCTATCCGTGTGGGGCGGCGTGAGTGGTCAGTCGATTGACTAACTGAGCGGACGTGGCCGAGTGGATTTGGGAAGTTGATTGAGCGAGTTGGACGTTTTCAGCAACTCGAGTGGTCGCGTCGGCGTGAAAGTGCGTGTGGGTTGGGCGCGGGGTCGACGGCTACTGGATTTTCTCGGGCGTCTTCAACGATCGAGTAGCCGAAGAGCACCCGGAGAAATTCCGCACGCTCCGCAAGAGGCCAGCGCTCTGTCCCGTACAGATGGAGCAGATGGAGATTAGTCCGCACTCCGCAGTCACCGCCTTTCCTCTCGATGCCCACGGGAAGGGAGTTTTGCACCATCCGTGTGTGATCCACCAACCCTCGGTGATGCCTCCACAGCGCTGGGTTACAGGCAGCCACGTGCAGCATCAACATCAACACCACCACCACCACCACTACCAAACACCACCACCAACACCAACAACACCACCACCACTACCACCACCACTACCAAACACCACCACCAACACTACCAAGACCACCACCACTACCACCACCACTACCACCACCACTACCAAACACCACTACCAACACCACCACCAAGACCACCACCACTACCAAACACCACCACCAACACCACCAACACCACCTTCCCCTGGGGAGCCAAGCTACGGCTCCTCCTCCCTGGACATCCGCACGCGGTCCACCAACCCTCGGCTTCCTCCACAACGTCGCTGGCTCGCAGTCCACGCGATTGTAGCCACCTTCACACCCCTCCCCTGTGCCCCCCCTCCCCTGTGCCCCCCCTCCCCCCAGGAGTTTGCGGCGGACACGAGCGACGCGTGGGACGCGGAGCCCAGCGACGACGAGCTGCTGAACATGGCGACGCGCGGCCTCGCCTCCGACGTGGTGATGTCGACGGCGCGCGAGGTCATCCAGAAGCACGAGCGCCGGCGCCGCTCCGCCGGGCCCCCGCCCCGCGCCGGCGGCGGCGCCGCGGCCGAGGAGGAGGGGGGAGGAGGAGGGGAGGCCGGGGAGGGAGGAGGGGAGGGCGCCACGGGACCCGAGGGCCGGATGGTGAAGTCGCAGAGCGAGTTTGTCATCTCGGGGAGGGCGGCCGGTAGGTGCGGCGGGCGGAGGGACGGACGGGCAAACGAACGGGTCGACTGGCGTGTGGAGGAACAGATGGGCGGGTGTGATGGACGGGCCGGTGGATGGATTGATGGATGGAGGGATCCGCGGGACAGACGGGTGGGCAGACTGAGAGATGAAGGGACAGAGGGGCGGGCGGACACTGGGGACGAGTTGCAGGAGTTGTTTGACTGGACTTGACCACGTTGGTCAGAGTTGTCGGGGATCTGTCCGGGTAACCCGGCCGTAGGCATCGACGCAGCAGAGAACCTTCATAACGCACCAATCGTATCGACGATCCAAACATCGTGGCAACGATCGCAACCACCACAACGATATTAACCCTTTCCCGTTCCGAGACATCTGCAAGTTACAGGGTGGGCTGTCCCCGTTCACCGATGAATCTCGGAATGTGTCAGCGGCTCGACGATTAATTTTAATTGGACAGGAGTAGCGCCGTTGTTTTTAAAGACGTCGTTAGCGCAGAGAACCGTAGCGACACGGCCGCTCTCTACGGCGGCTGGCGCCAAACTGTGCCACGCGCCCTCCCGCGGGGCCTCGTGGGAGCCTCGGTACCAAGAAAGTTATTTGGTGTTGGTTTTTCTTCCGGTTTTGTTTTGACGATGTACACGTGCGCACACGTGCGTCATCGGAATGGAATCCACGGAAAAACTGATGATGGACGTACACCTACACATTGGTCGTCATCACCTACGTCGTCACGTTTATGTACACGTTCGTCCCATACGTCATCACGTACGTCATCACCACGTACTTGTACACGTATGTCATGTACATGTAAGTCATGATGACGTACGTATACACGCGCGTCATCACATATGTGCACGTATGTCATTGGAACGGGAAAGGGTTAACAACATAGCAGCCACGACAAACAACAACTAACAACAACAATCGCAGCGACCAGCACCCTGGCTGGTGCAAACTCGGCAGAGACCCGAGTTTGATTCCCGCTCATGGCCAACGCCGGTGACGATTGTCGGGAACCGAACCTGAGCCAGTGGGAAGACAAAGGCGGCCGGGCGTGGTGCTGGCCACCCACCCCCTCGTGTGCCGTGCCGGCCTTCATCGGTGCTCGCAAACAAAAAACTTCGTCATCACTAACCCCGAACGATTGCTAACCTCGTGCCGTCCATTCGCCCCACCCTCGATCCCCACACCCCCTCCCCTGGCCTCTGACCCCCCCCCCCCCCGCCCGACCCCCGTCCAGGCGGTTTGGAGCGAGGGTCGTTGCCACGGCAGCAGTCGGTGACCCTGCCGCCGCCGCCGTCGCGCCCGGTCATCCCCCTGGTGGCGCGCATCGCCGACCAGAACACGACGGGCTCCATGTCGCTGCACGACCGCGACGCCGCCAAGCTCGACAAGTTCCACCAGCTGCTGGCGGCGTCCAACACCGACCTCGGTGCGCGCTGGCGTGTGTGTGTGTGTGTGCGCGCGTGCGTGTGCTAGTGTGTGTGCGTGTGTGTGTGTGCTGGTGTGTGTGCGTGTGTGTGTGTGCTGGTGTGTGTGCGTGTGTGTGTGCGCGCATGCGTGTGCTGGTGTGTGTGCGTGTGTGTGCGTGTGTGCGCGCGTGCGTGTGTGTGTGCGCGCGTGGGCTGTGGTCGTGTAGCGGTTGCCGCACTGCGCTACGAACCTGGCAACCCGAGTTCGATTCCCGCTCGTGGCCAATACCGGTGACGATTAACTGAACCGGTCATGGGCTCCCCGAGGTCGACTCGGCCTCAAATGACTACCTGGTGCGGTGTGTAGTAAACATCGCCTCTAGGGAGACAAAGGCGGTCGGGCGTGCTGCTGGCCACCCACCCCCCTCGTGCGCTGTGCCAGCCTTCCCCACGTGTGTCTCACTGTGTCTCCCCTTGCTTCCCCGTGTCCCCTCACTTGTCTCTGTGGCCCCGTGTGTAACCCCCCTGTGTGTCCCCGTGTGTCCCCGTGTGTCCCTGTGTGTCCCTGTTTGTCTCCCCGCGTGTCCCCGTGTGTAGAGGAGCTGCGGAAGCTGAGCTGGTCGGGGATTCCCAAGCCCGTGCGGCCGGTCACATGGCGACTCCTGTCTGTGAGTCCCGCTCATTCAGCCAATCGCATGACAGACGGGTCACTCACTCAGCCAATCGCATGACAGATGGGTCACTCACTCAGCCAATCGCGACACAACCAATCGCACAACAGAGGGACCTCTCACTGGGTGACGTGCCGTGTGTAGTCACAGTAAGCCGCGCGTTGTCATGGTACCGTGCTCATCGCCGTGACGACCGCCCCCAGGGTTACCTCCCGGCCACGTCGGAGCGCCGGGAGCCGACGCTGCAGCGCAAGCGACTCGAGTACTTCAGCTTCATCGAGCAGTACTACGACTCGCGCAACGAGGAGCACCACCAGGACACCTTCCGCCAGGTGCTGCCTGCTCGCCCGCTCACCCGCCCGCTCACCCACCCGCTCACCCGCCCGCTCACCCGCCCACTCACCCACCCGCTCACCCGCCCGCTCACCCGCCCTCTCATTCGCTCACCCGCTCTCTCACTCGCTCACCCGCCCTCTCACTCGCTCACCCGTTCTCTCACTCGCTCACCCGCTCTCTCACTCGCTCACCCGCTCTCTCACTCGCTCACCCGCTCTCTCACTCGCTCACCCGCTCTTTCCCTGCTCACCCGCTCTCTCACTCGCTCACCCGCTCTCTCACTCGCTCACCCGCTCGCTCCCTGCTCACCCGGTCTCTCGCTCGCTCACCCGCTCTCTTGCTCACTCACCCGCTCGCTCCCTGCTCACTCGCCCTCTCACTCGCTCACCCGCTCTCTCACTCGCTCACCCGCTCTCTCACTCGCTCACCTGCCCTCTCACTCGCTCACCCGCCCTCTCACTCGCTCACCCGCTCGCTCACTCGCTCACTCGCCCTCTCACTCGCTCATCCGCCCTCTCACTCGCTCACCCGCTCGCTCACTCGCTCACCCGCTCACTCACTCGCCCTCTCACTCGCTCACCCGCTCTCTCACTTGCTCACCCGCTCTCTCACTCGTTCACCCGCTCTCTCACTCGCTCACCCGCTCTCTCACTCGCTCACCCGCTCTCTCACTCGCCCTCTCACTTGCTCACCCACTCGCTCACTCGCCCTCTCACTTGCTCACTCGCTCTCTCACTCGCTCACCCGCTCGCTCACCCGCTCTCTCACTCGCTCACCCGCTCTCTCACTCGCTCACCCGCCCTCTCACTCGCTCACCCGCTCTCTCACTCGCTCACCCGCTCTCTCACTCGCTCACCCGCTCTCTCACTCGCTCACCCGCTCTCTCACTCGCTCACCCGCTCGCTCCCTGCTCACCCGCTCTCTCACTCACCCTCTCACTTGCTCACCCGCTCTCTCACCCGCTCTCTCACTCGCTCACCCGCCCTCTCACTCGCTCACCCGCCCTCTCACTCGCTCACCCGCCCTCTCACTCGCTCACCCGCTCTCTCACTCGCTCACCCGCTCTCTCACTCGCTCACCTGCTCTCTCACTCGCTCACCCGCTCTCACTCGCTCACCCGCTCTCTCACTGGCTCACCCGCTCTCTCACTCGCTCACCCGCCCTCTCACTCGCTCACCCGCCCTCTCACTCGCTCACCCGCTCTCTCACCCACTCTTTCACTCGCTCACCCGCTTTCTCACTCGCTCGCCCGCCCTCTCACTCGCTCGCCCGCCCTCTCACTCACCCGCTCGCTCCCTGCTCACCCGCTCTCTCACTCGCTCGCCCGCTCTCTCACTCGCTCACCCGCTCTCTCACTCGCTCACCCGCTCTCTCACTCGCCCTCTCACTCGCTCACCCGCCCTCTCACTCACCCGCTCGCTCCCTGCTCACCCGCTCTCTCACTCGCTCGCCCGCTCTCTCACTCGCTCACCCGCTCTCTCACTCGCTCACCCGCCCTCTCACTCGCTCACCCGCTCTCTCACTCGCTCACCCGCTCTCTCCCTGCTCACCCGCTCTCTCACTCGCTCGCCCGCTCTCTCACTCGCTCACCCGCTCGCTCCCTGCTCACTCGCTCACTCGCTCACCCGCTCTCTCACTCGCCCTCTCACTTGCTCACCCACTCGCTCACTCGCCCTCTCACTTGCTCACTCGCTCTCTCACCCGCTCTCTCACTCGCTCACCCGCGCTCTCACCCGCTCTCTCACTCGCTCACCCGCTCTCTCACTCGCTCACCCGCTCTCTCACTCGCTCACCCGCCCTCTCACTCGCTCACCCGCTCTCTCACTCGCTCACCCGCTCTCTCACTCGCTCACCCGCTCGCTCCCTGCTCACCCGCTCTCTCACTCACCCTCTCACTTGCTCACCCGCTCTCTCACCCGCTCTCTCACTCGCTCACCCGCCCTCTCACTCGCTCACTCGTTCTCTCACTCGCTCACCCGCTCTCTCACTCGCTCACCCGCTCTCTCACTCGCTCACCCGCTCTCTCACTCGCTCACCCGCTCTTTCCCTGCTCACCCGCTCTCTCACTCGCTCACCCGCTCTCTCACTCGCTCACCCGCTCGCTCCCTGCTCACCCGGTTTCTCACTCGCTCACCCGCTCTCTCACTCGCTCACCTGCCCTCTCACTCGCTCATCCGCCCTCTCACTCGCTCACCCGCTCGCTCACTCGCTCACTCGCCCTCTCACTCGCTCACCCGCCCTCTCACTCGCTCACCCGCCCTCTCACTCGCTCACCCGCTCGCTCACTCGCTCACCCGCTCGCTCACTCGCCCTCTCGCTCGCTCACCCGCTCTCTCACTCGCTCACCCGCTCTCTCACTCGCTCACCCGCTCTCTCACTCGCTCACCCGCTCTCTCACTCGCTCACCCGCTCTCTCACTCGCCCTCTCACTTGCTCACCCACTCGCTCACTCGCCCTCTCACTTGCTCACTCGCTCTCTCACTCGCTCACCCGCTCTCTCACCCGCTCTCTCACTCGCTCACCCGCTCTCTCACTCGCTCACCCGCTCTCTCACTCGCTCACCCGCCCTCTCACTCGCTCACCCGCTCTCTCACTCGCTCACCCGCTCTCTCACTCGCTCACCCGCTCTCTCACTCGCTCACCCGCTCGCTCCCTGCTCACCCGCTCTCTCACTCACCCTCTCACTTGCTCACCCGCTCTCTCACCCGCTCTCTCACTCGCTCACCCGCCGTCTCACTTGTTCACCCGCCCTCTCACTCGCTCACCCGCTCTCTCACTCGCTCACCCGCTCTCTCACTCGCTCACCCGCTCTCTCACTCGCTCACCTGCTCTCTCACTCGCTCACCCGCTCTCACTCGCTCACCCGCTCTCTCACTGGCTCACCCGCTCTCTCACTCGCTCACCCGCCCTCTCACTCGCTCACCCGCCCTCTCACTTGCTCACCCGCCCTCTCACTCGCTCACCCGCGCTCTCACCCACTCTTTCACTCGCTCACCCGCTTTCTCACTCGCTCGCCCGCCCTCTCACTCGCTCGCCCACCCTCTCACTCACCCGCTCGCTCCCTGCTCACCCGCTCTCTCACTCGCTCGCCCGCTCTCTCACTCGCTCACCCGCTCTCTCACTCGCTCACCCGCTCTCTCACTCGCCCTCTCACTCGCTCACCCGCCCTCTCACTCGCTCACCCGCTCTTTCACTCGCTCACCCGCTCTCTCACTCGCTCACCCGCTCTCTCCCTGCTCACCCGCTCTCTCACTCGCTCGCCCGCTCTCTCACTCGCTCACCCGCTCGCTCCCTGCTCACTCGCTCACTCGCTCACCCGCCCTCTCACTCGCTCACCCGCCCTCTCACTCGCTCACCCGCTCTCTCACTCGCTCACCCGCTCGCTCCCTGCTCACTCGCTCACTCACTCGCTCACCCGCCCTCTCACTCGCTCACCCGCCCTCTCACTCGCTCACCCGCCCTCTCACTCGCTCACCCGCCCTCTCACTCGCTCACCCGCTCGCTCCCTGCTCACTCGCCTGCCGAGTCTTCGACGCTGCCGCCGCCGCCCAACTCCTCACCTATCCACTCACCCAACTGCTCGCCTCACCACTCGCCTCACCACTTGCCCAATTTCTCGCCCACTCCTAAACCCGGCCACTTGCTCACCTGCCCAGTTCCACCCACCCACACCCACCCACCCATTCGCCAAACCGTCCAGTCCACTCGCGACCACAAGTCTTCACGTGTGCGTTGTGCATTGATCAAGATGACTGCGATCAGGCTGTCTGTGCGGGGGCATGAA